TTCGAGACAACACGATAATTATTATCTGATTAGGCAGTCAGGGCTTCCTCGTAGACTTCAGTGGAACGAAGCGGAACGCCAAAGTTGGATATGCTTCGTTCTTTATATTGGCTTGCGGTGATCGATCAGAATCATCCAATTGGCGTAAAAATCGTTCATTAATGTAACGTTGTTTTAGAGCACAGGTCCTAAGCACCCATTTCTGAGTTAAGCGGCGTCGGCGTAACGCGCGTTGCATTATACGGGCTGTTCCCCAAGATGACGTCACACGTGAATGTCACGTGTGACGTCACGAGGGTAAATTTTTCCCGCTAAATTTGGCGGTAAAGGTTTTTGCTAAGTTTGGTGCAAAATTTTTCCGCTAAATTTAGAAGAAAAATTTCACCCATTTGACGCCACATTTACAATTTCAGATGACGTGTCATGTGACGTCACACGTCTATTCAGCGGGAAAATTTCCCGGCTAAGTTGAGCGGGAAATTTAGCGAAATTTTGACGCTAAGTGGGATGGGAATAGAAGAAGAGGATGGGAGGGTACGGAGGGGGAGCCGCTGGCATACCCTCCCCTTCGTACCCTTCCTCCCTCCTCCTCAAGAGCTGCGCTCCAATTCGGCATTGCAGAGAATTGTAAACGTCTAATTTTTTTAACGCGTCTTTATTAAAAGTATTGACTCCCGAGTGGGCTAGCGCCCACCAGATCGGAGTACGTGGAGAACCCAGTGATCCTGAGCTCAATCCCCAGCCCTGCCCGAAGAACACACTTCCAATGAAGTGAGTTCGGGGAGCGCACTACGCTCGCTCCGATAGACCGAGTGTGTAATCTCAATAGCAGTTTTCAAGGAGTAAAAATAATAGAAGAAATTAACGCTGCATAAAATTAGTATAATATTGATAGGAGTAATATTAGATGCGCACCTGTTTTCTGTTGGCAGGAAAGTAGTGCATTGTAGAAAAACAAGCGGCTAATCTACAGGGTGTCACAAAAGAAAATTTACACGGTCTTTTTTACCGAAAAAATAAACTAGGCATCGCCGAACGCTCATTCTCTGCCCAAAGGTAGAGCTAGAAGCCACAACCGGGTGCCAAAGTTTCAGCCCGATCCGATAATTTAATCAAAAGTTATAAGTGATTTTCTGAAAAGTTCAATGGGAAAATGGAGCCCATTTTTGCCTGTTTTCGGTTTCTGGTGCCATAGAGCACCATGTGTTCGAAAACTCCGTCGGCCGCCATTTTCCCATTGAAATTTTCAGAAAATCATTTATAACTTTTGATTAAGTTATCGGATCGGGCTGAAACTTTGGCATCTGGTTGTGACCTCTAGAGCAGCTACCTTCGGGCGGAGAATGAGCGTTCGGCGATGCCTAGTTTATATTTGCGGTAAAAAAGACCGTGTAAATTTTCTTTTGTGACACCCTGTAGTTTCCCGCCTTGGCCCCTGCGCGACGGCCAGGAGGCACCTGCAAGACTCCACCAGGAATCAGAAGGTGGCAGGAGAGACGCGAAAGGCTTGCTTGAAATGGAACTCGCTCAAATGGGGCAAAGTGTCTTCGAACCACCGTTCGTTCCTCTGGAAAGTCCACCGTTCTCGACTGATCACGGGCAGGTTGTCGGTCATGAGAGCGTCTATGGTGAAGGCATTGGCCTGCAGCTGATGATCGATGTCACTTCAAATTCTTGCCTGTGCGTCGGCATCCAGGCCCAACTGCCTCCCATCCGAAAGGCGTTGGGCTCTCCCAGGGATAAGGCACAGGATAAGGCGCACATGCCCGAATCACGCGCTTCCACTGTCCAACATCGCGGATATCACCCTCCAGCTCGTCCTCCACACACTCCATGATGTTTCGTTGTGGCGAGTGGCCAAGTGGGCTCGCGCACATCAGCTCGGAGCACGCGGAGCGAAAGATCGCGCTGCAAAACCCAGGAATCCTGGGTTCAATCCCTACTTCTGCTCGTTTCGATCTATACTTCGTTTCATCTTATGCTGTACCTCAGACAAGGCTAGAAGCGCGAGCTCATAGCGTTGGGGGCTTAACGCACGAGAGCTTGTGCCGCCGAGATGTGCCCTGAGCAAGGAGCTCGCACTTGTAGCCTTTCTCTCGGTACATTATAAGGTGAAACTAGGGTGCCTTCATGTGCGCTTTGCTTAGGGTGGAGACATATGGCCATTTTGTTCCCACTTTTACATTTATTTTTTGTTCAGACGCGCTTGAAAGAGCGTGTCCCTGCACGCGTCTGTGGCGCTGACTGTGCTATGTCGACATTTTGTTTTCGTAGATTTCTTTGCATTTTGCCCGTGAGGGCATGCTGTCGGCATCGGGTACTACAAAGGGCGGCATCACTCTAAACAGAAGGTCATTGAGGCACCCTATGTTAGGGTGCCTCAATGACCTTCTGTTCAAAGTGATGCCACCCTTTGTAGTACCCGATGCCGACAGCATGCGCACACGGGCAAAATACAAAGAAATCGACAAAAACAAAATGTCGCCATAGCACAGTCAGCGCCACAGACGCGCGCAGGGACACTCTCTTTCACGCGCTTCTGAACAAAAAATAAATGTAAAAGTGGTAACAAAATTGCCAGATGTCTCCACCCTAAGCAAAGCGCACATGAAGGCACCTTACCCTTGGTGAAACGGAGTATAGATGAGCATTGTACCGGCGTGCCGACGTGTATCACTGGCTTGTAATGGCTGATCGTAATGATCAAGTTGGATTTAAATTTAGATTAAAGCTCGTGACTCAGCGCAACAATGTGTGGTAAAGTGTTTCTAATAAGACGACGAAGTTATTTATGAAAAAATACCTATGCACTGTAATGTTTTGCGTGCCCATTACTTACCCATCGTCATTGCCATCATTATGGAGTGACACTAAGTTTTCCCGTGTAGCACCAGCACACTTCGAGTGTGTTTCGACGGGTTGAAGCGCACTCGTTTGTAGTGACACTAAACTAGCCCGTCTGACAGGGGTATAAACCTATCTTCCCTTCACCCTTTAGCAGAGACTATAAAGCTCCGCCTTCAGCGCGAGCTTTCTGCCCTTGCTAACACAAGTGTGAACGCGCAGCCACGCGCAACCAAAGCACTGCGGAAGTCAGCGAGCTCGCGCTGAAGGCGGAGTTTCAAGTCTCAGTTTAAGGGTGAATGAAGAATGTCTTGACAATGTTTTATCTAGATACTATTTTAGTTGCAACTAACCGACTTTCCCTGGACCAACTCAACCTAGGCATTACACAGATTGCTGTCAAGGTTTTCTACAATCTAGTGTCTTAAAAAAAATTCGATCGAATAGGCATCAGTCAGTTTAAAAAAGAAAACGACAAAAAATGACCTATCTTTAGTTCTCAAATAGCATCGGTGACAGCTGCCTCTTTTGCCTAACAATTTGATGCTAAAAATAAACGCATAAATATCTCCTTGTACGTAAGAAGCGTCAATATCAAAAAAGCGTTATTGTGCCTCAAAATTGTATATTTTTTTATGTGTCTTTTATGGAACCTGGACGTTCCGCGCCTGTTTTAATTGGTACGAGCGTCGTACCGGAGCGCTTTCGTGTATCTCTTCAGCGGGATGCATGTTAAACACTGCAGACTGGATGTCTTACTGCTCTGCCTACATTTATGATGTTAGCGGACACATGTGACGCCCTTCGGGGCAAACGGGCCTTCCCCAATGTGCCAGTTAACATTCACGCAACAACTTACTGCGAAAAAAAAGTGCTCCTTTTTTTTTCGCCGGCGAACTGCAGCCTGTACATCCTGAGGAGTACACTGACATTTTAAGAGCATGGTCTTCGAAAAAAAAAGGGTAACCTATTGAAGGTGGATAGCATCTGAGTGACATAGCTTTTAGCAGGCACGCTAGACACGAAGCAAAAGACGCACTAAAAATGATCGGAAGTAAAAAAAAGTAACAAAAAATACGAGCACGGTGGTAGACCCTAAAACTGGGGTAGAACAAAGTTACAGCACAAAGAAATACAAAAACCAAGTGAGAAAGACAGCGTCAATAACACGGCTCAAAAGTAGGGGAAAGAAAGATTTGCAGGCACAGTGCAATATTTGTGAGACCCAACAAAAAAAAATTAATCTTATGAAGCAAAAAAAAAAAATGGCGTTTCTATAATTGAGTCTTCATACTATTATCTGTTTAAAGGATTACTGAAGGAAGATACGAAAATGAAGGACGTAAATATTCTGAGACACAAAACTAAAACTGGGGATGATGGCCCTTATCTTTATTTGTACCTTTTCAGTGTCTGCTGGGTGCTTAGCTGAACTTTAAAAACTATGTGCATCGCTATCAAAGACACCGTCTTGATCGGGCAAGGAAGGCCTCTTTATGAAGCAGCATGTTACCTGTCGTGCCTCTCACATCAGTGTGCGATATTATGTTGAGTCATACGTCGCTATGCAATATGTTAAGCAATGTTAAGGACAAAGATGGGCCCGCTTGAGATTTAGATATAGTTTTTGAACCGGTTATTTTTGGCCATAAATAATGTTCAAACAGTAATTTCTTTACACTATGCCAAAATATTTTTGTATCAAATGCCTATAATATTTCTCAGAATACTATCAAGTAGTGGTACTAAAAAAACGTTTTTTCTTAGGGGGATGGAGGTAGGGGAAGGAGTTCATGGCAGCCCTAGACTCACAGTATGTGGGTGGGGGCTGGATATATGTATTTCTAAGCCAGTTGTGAATAAAACCTACGAACGTGCGCACAGTTTTGCTTTATTAATCAGGAAGTCCGGGGTAAAGATCCATTCCGTCATGTAAGTCACCCGTTCATCATGCACTTCTCTCGTGTTGTCTAAAGGCCCTTGCAGCCCCCCCCCCCCCCGCCCCCATTTTAGGTTATTTATATACTTACCGCATTTTGGGGGTCCAGGCACGAGCTGTATGTCGGTGGCGTCCGCATCATTTATCCGCGCTGCTCTCCTGTTTGGTGTGTAGGCGGTATTGGTTCTAAGATCAAGGGCCCTCCATTCTGCAGGTTTCTTCTGGTCGTCGGGCGATATCCTGACTGGATACCTTGACCCTTTGAAGATGAGACCCACCTTCATATCCGGATTTTCCGACACTCTGGATTGGAGGCCCCTGTACTTCCAAGAGTCCTCCGTTGCGAACATTGTATGCTCCCTGTGTGGCCTGGTTTCGAGAAATGTTGTCAGATTGCGCTGTGAGCACACACTCTGCTCGGAATGTCACGAGGAGTCCCAGAGGCGAGGGAGCACTTGTCTACTGGATGAAGAATCCTTCGCCGACGATAACATTCTTCACCTTGATATCTCGGGAGGTTACATCCTGAACCATACGGTAAGTGAATCTAAATAAATGAGGCGGTATAGATTTTATATATATTGTTGGAGCGTTACAAGCTCTTCAACACTTGAATACTTTTTCTCGTTCTTTATAGCCAGGACTCTGTGTTTTCGGAGTTGACTTATCGTGAAATTTGGAGGGTGTCTTTCGGACTTTCTTTATTGCCAAATGTTCGGAATTTATGGGAGATTATTTTTGTGTGATTCCCAATTTTCTGAAGTACGTAGTATAACGTAGCATATTTGCTCTGTTGCTAAATTTTAAAAATTGAAAATAAAAATATATATGACTTGCGGGTATAACTCTGCCCTAGATTTATAAAAACGCACGTGTACCGCGTGACATTGGCACCGCTGCCATTAGCAGTCCTACCGTAAAATCATGAGAAATAGCCCACCTATAATTGAGATAAAGTTGGGAGTAAATAAGGAGTGGGCTAACTTTCGGTGTGCAATCAAGAAACGTTTAAGAAATTTTGTAAGTATATAATATGTTTCTGTCAGACTTGTTATCGCGGCAAGGGGGTATGAAGCAAAGATTACTGTACTTCCCAGTCAGCAATATCATATGAAGATAAATGGACTCCTTGACGCAGTCGTTAAAAAGCTTGTTTTCTCTTCATCCTTTTCTACCGCTTTTCCCTGGGGCTGCGGTGGGTGGAGTGGTGAAATAGAAGCCTCAGCTGTCCCTCTTATGAAATCTAAAGACTTGTTCACAAAGTTGCGTCGAGTGCGTTGTGCTGCGTTGCGCCGTGCAGCACAGCGCTACTCGATTTGATCGTCGTAAATTTCGCCGTAGCAGCAGCTCAACGCCAAAAGCCTTAAAAAGACGCAAATGGTGGCGGTCGCACTCAGACGCAAATGTGTGGATGGGCCTTAAGAGTTTATGACTTTCACGATTATCAAATCACAACTCTTCCTTTAAGAAGTTGAATCTGTAAACCAAAGCAGTGGTTTCTGTCGTGGCCCAGAATTACAATGTCCGTCGCCTCTCCTGATGACCGCTGAATATGTGCTGTGGCCAAACTTTCTCGTAGAAAACTGAACTTTTTTTTTTGTTGTTTGCCATGGTTTTTTTTTAATTTTTTGAATAAATTTGAATTCAAGAAAGTTTTACCGGCGAGTTTTTTTTTGTTTTTGGATTTTTTTGAATTTATTCGAAAAGACGCCACCCTTTCTCTTGCCCACTCATATATAATTTAAAAAAATGCATGTTAAACATTTATTTATTTAAAAAAATGTTTACATATATTTTTCTAATCGTTTCAAATAATCAATGTGAACAACTCACATGTTTTCGTAGATTTGCCTCCGGTCTCCAACTCGGATATTAGCTTCTTGTGCCGTCTTTTGGTTTTCAGGTTATAATTATATAAGGGCTGAACATTTCTTTCGTTTTCTTTTTTCACAGGTAGCCTGCGTCAATGCACCCAATGGTTGCGACTTCATAGGTCAAGCTTCTAGGCTCGTGGATCACTACAAGCAGTGCTCGTTTCACGTCGTGCCTTGCCCCAGGTGCGAATCATCAGTGCTAAGGACTGAGATCGTGGGTCACTGTAAAGACGGTTGCAGTTCTGCGTCCACTACACCCGTGCCCATTCCGTATTATATGAACGTGAATTATGATAACTTAGAAATTACAAGCAGTGAACGGAAAAGAGAGATGCTCAAAATATCCGAGGATCTCTCTCGTCTTCAGACTAGCCTCAACCAGTGGCTTGAGGAAGTCCGAACGTTGGAGAAAAACACAAACAAGGAACTGAAGGATGCAATGCTAAAGGTCTCTGACCATCTCTCCGGTCTGAACACCTGTGCGGAGCGGTGCCGGGAAGATGCGAGGGAAGCAGCCAGAAACAGCAAAGAGCAGTCGGAAGCTCAATCGTCGAGACTTTCCGAGCAGTTGGTCAGAATCGAAACTCAAGGTTTCGCTGCAGTCAAGAAAGAACTGAAACTTGCCATTGAAGACACAGTGAAGACGCACATGGCTCAGGAGTTACGTGTACAATACGAAAAACTTACGAAGAGTATATCCAATTGTGTGCTTGCATATTGCGGAATGTCACTGGTACATAAAAAGAATTTCACTGGTACTTGAAAGGCTGGGAAGACTTAAAAAAAAGTGCATTAGACACAGGGTTTGTGGTCACTGACAGCCCCTTACAGTATGTATGTGGATATAATGTGTGCATCCGTATTCGGTTGGACGGATTACTGGGGCAGACGTGTTTAGGGTTGTATATATGCATCCATCCAGGTGTCAACGATTCAAAGCTGGAATGGCCCTTCAGGAAGACTTACACGCTCGGCGTCATTCATCCCCGCTACAAAGCAAAAAGTAAGATTGATAAAATCGTTGCAAGCAGATATTGGTACAACCCGAGCTGCCAGATGCCAAAACAAGACGGTAATGTTGGCTTAGGAACTACGATCTTGAGTACCTTTAACGGGCTCGAACGGGAAGGGTCTGTTATTGGCGATTCGCTGCACTGCTTTCTCCAAGTTGAGCCGTAATGTTCTTTTCCGGTAGGTTAATAATTTATTATCGAGAGGAGCAAAAAATGTTCTGCTGCCTGGAAAAAAACGCTTACCTGATCCAAATAAACATAAAACGGATGGAACTACTCATTCTCCTCGTTCTTCAAAAAAAAAAAAAAAAAACGCGTCCCGAGTACGCGACACGCCCCTTTCAGTGTATTTTCCTGGAGGAAACAGGAATTCCTTTTGTGCGCACTGTAACTAGCACTGATAATCTCATTGCAGCTACGAGTATAACATAAAATATAGGACTTCTCTTCACGACAGGCTGCCACAGTAAGCCGGCATCCAAACGAAGCCGCAGCGTGTATAATATTGCATATTGTATATTAACAAAAAACTCCGCTCAATTGTAGATATTTTTTTTTCTAAATATGCACTTTCCTTAGTGAGGGCGACGAATGCCGCAACTGCCATAATAGGATGTAACTCTCTCTAAATCTGTATTAAACTTGTCAAAAATCTACGACATGCACCAATTCAACAGATTCTGCTACTTTGGCGGGCAACAAGCCTCGCATCGAACACTGCGCTGCCTACGTCACATATATTACGAAATTCGTTGTTTTTTTGTTTTATGCTGAGCTCGGTATTTCATTAAAAGGAACATTTGCGAGTGCGCGGGTGGCGGATATGCCCCTCTAGCCGTCTGCTACGTAGATTCCGATGTAGCGCGTGAGTCTCTCCTCTCTCTAGATAACATTGTTCAAGGCAGGGGTCGGCAAACGTTTGCAGTGGCGGGCCGAGGCGTCACGAAACCGACACGGAGTGAGCTGGAAGGGAAGTCGCAAGAGTGAAAGGGGAAGGGGGAGGCAAACCAGTAAAGAAAAAGATACAAAAAACACTGGCCCGAATTCGCATTAAGGACTGTCCCAAGAATTCTGATGAACCCGCAGAGCTCGACCCAATGAACGCTGCATTCTTGATTGAGCAGTGACCCCTTCGGTAGCTATATAAACGCGAATAGAATTCTCGAAACTTTCCAGAACGCGCACAGGCGGTCTCGTTGCGCGCTCATGTCGCGGCGCTCTCGTGTTGTGCGCTCTTGAGTTAAACAGCAATGTAAAACACGTGGAAAAAAGGTTAGTATGTATCTGTCCAATAGACAATTGCAAGCACGGCGCCCGACTAGTGTCCGTGCGTGCGTGCATCTGCAGAGTGCGCGTGAACAAAGCTTTTGGCAAGCTTGCAATTGCACCCACTTGCCCGCACGAGCAGAGGCATGGCGGTCCCCAGATGCCCCGTTTGCAGAAGCCAATAGGCGCTTTTAGAAAGCTGTGCACGGGCATAGCCATAACCGTCTTTCACTTCGTCGTTACCACAACAGGATAGGCTATTTCTCTTTTATATTCAACTGTGTCCTACTGCCCAGCATTGGTCTCCCTGGAGGCTTCTCTACGTCGTTTTTACTGGCTCCGTATAGACAAACGACGATAAGCAATGGCGGCTGTAATCTTGCGCGTGTTTAAAGCGTCTGTACTTAAACGATTCTTTCTAACAGAGCAGGTGCATGTCGGCGGTGAATGATGATTAGTCCATTATACTCGTACTTCGTTTCAGCTTAAGATCCGATGCGACCGACGCGACGTGCTAATGGGACCAATGAATCGAGCTCAAAAGTACAGGTCACCCTAAAAGTTTCTGTTCATAGTTGACTCAGCGATGGTAGAACACGTTCAGAGATATGACGTGGTGCTCTTTTGGCGCTCTCTGATTGGTTCCATCAGCTCGTAGCTTCGGAAGCGTCTGGACTTAGGGTGAAACGAGGTGTAGTCCGCAGCCAACCGTCGACGCACGCAGCCGATTCCCGACGATTCCCGACGATTCCCGACGCAGTAAGGGGTAGCGGAGCCGGCGTATGGCGTCAGTGCTACAGACAAAAGTAAATTGATAGATCAAAGAGCGCGATAAACCTCCTCTCTTTCCGATTACTTTAGTTTCCATAGGAGCGGCTTCTAAGAACCCAAGTGTGCTTAGAATTCAGGCCCTTACATTCACCCACAAAAGAAGCAGAACTCACTAAAACTTCCCATTAAGACATTTTCGTGACAGACACTACACCAAGAAATGTAAACTTGTATCAATAATTCCGATAAACCGAAAGACCAGAAAAGTGTGTGGTCTATGGAGCGCCTTCGAAACCACCCAAAGCTCTCCACAATCAAGCATCGCAAATCGCAACGAGCGCATAATACACGCATGACAATTTTTTTATTCCCCTGGTTTCTAAGAACGATCAAGGCAAGCCTGATTTTTTTGTTTGCAAAACAAAAACATGTAGCGGCAAAAAAGAAGAAAAAAGAAAAACGAACAGACGTAAGTAACGAGGCGGAGAAATATCAGAAGTATCAATCGAATCATCCAACTTTTTTTGTTGTTGTCAGATAATTGTCTCAAACAAAACTACAGGAAGGGTGGCAGGGCATCATCACCCAAAAGATATCGACCGCTTTGAGTGTTTTTCACTTCGCATTGAGGCGCGGTATGCGTCAGTCTTATCTCAATTCCTGGCTTTGCAGGTCCCCCGATCTCACGTATATGGTACGTCTGTAGACGCATACGGCATTCCAATTATTTTATGTTTTTAACAAAGTGTTCGCGTGTAACTATTTTAATCTGCGGTGTATGAGTCGCGCACAGTTGTAAAAGCGGCTCCTCTTTGTATGATCAGCAGAGTCGCTTCAGCCGCGGACTTATGCTGCAACGCTTCGAAGCGCCTTCGGACCGCCAAAAGAGCAGGCCCTTGGTGGGGGCTCTGCCGTTCCTATTTTGTTGTTAACGTTGACAAAGCCTACACCTTGCACAGATAAATGCCGTACTTACAACCACGAAAGAAAAACGTATGATTTGTACGGTTGTATACAACGCAGGGACCAAATTCAGAGAAAAAAAAAGGAGTCTTATACACCTGACATAACGGTCCACCTATGCGAACATTGCAAAAACCGGTAGATTTCGATCACTACATGAGATACGTCCTGAGGAAACACGTAAACATGTACGAATTAAACGCTTTTCCTGAGAACTTGCCACATTGTGGCAACAAATATCGGCTAACGTTTTGTCGCCTGATGTTTCCCAATAGTAGAGCCACATTCTGCCTCACAGCATGGCGAACTCGGAAACAATGTCCATACTAGCAAAACTTGTTGTTGGGCGAGTTGGCTTGTGAAACTGAGTATACATGTATGCGCGAAACGAGGGCGAACAGAAATGTGCTCGTCCTTGTCCCCGCCTTCGTGTTCGTCCTTTGTGTTCGAGCATACAAGGTTACTCATTACCCTGTTGGTTGGTTAGTTCCATACGGGGGGTTTTCTCCAGTAGATTCAAATTGGCAAGCATGTGAAACACGATTAACCAAAAAAAAAAAAAGCCATAACAACTTGCGAAAAAAAAACACCACGCTTTTTTGGGCTTGCTGGACAGAAAAGTTGTACTCCATCGGCCTCGAATGCGGAGCTGAGTACATAGGGGAAACCGGCCGATGTACAAATTACCGCTTACGTGAACACACAAATGAAGCTACTTCAAGAACTGATAACCCCATTCATCCGATCGCGGTTCATGCCAACGAATGCCTTGGATGCGCGCCCGACTTCGCGGGAACCAAGACAAAGGGGGGGGCCCCGCAATCGCTATGGACGTGAGATAATCGAAACCTGTCTCAGCGATAACGCAGAAAACGTTTCATCGGCTTCAGTAAGCTTATCAAGATGGGATATAAAATTCATCAGGCTTAAAATTGAAAAAAATAAAAAGAGTCTTGCTTTGAATGGTTTATTCAGCCTTGATGTTGGTATTCCTCTACGGGTGATCATTCTTTTAGCCGTGGATGATAAATTTAGCCAGTGCAGTACAACCGCTAACCTGAGGTTTTTAACGTGCATCACGCAGTAGTGATTACACGAACGCGTGCCAATACAAAACCCAATTTGAAAAGTATCGCAACTCCCCGTAAAAACTAGATCGTTACTGTAGTTCCTCCCGTGCCTCCTGGCTTCCTCCTCCCCCTTTCCATCCCCCAGTTTTCCTTCCCCCTATCAGCTTATCTTTGTTGGAATTTCGTTTCAGGGTGCAATTTTCGGGCCCAAAATAAACGTTGGGCTCAATGAAAAAACGTGTTTGTCCCGTGCTTGTCCTCCGTGTTTTATTCTTTCTATATTAAGTGCTAATTTTCTACTCACTCGCTTTTACCACTCCTAAAATATTTGCATTCTCAAACACGGGAGCCCACCCACACCTGCTGCAGTGGACTGCTAAATGGCCGGACGGATTCGAACGAAGAGAGTTGCAGTGCTCCCTCAGTCTGTCATTAATGCATCGTCCCGTTTGGCCCACACAGGCCTAACCACAAGACCAGCGGAATGCAGTACGCAACGCCCAAACGGCAGTGGACGAAACGATTTACATGAGGGAAGAACAATTATTTTTATCGAGTGAAAGAGTGTAGTGATAATTTTTTTTAAATTCCATTATTTTCCAGTTACTAGGCCCAGTTACTGGCATTGGCATTCCCCAGATCTCCGTCCTCTCACCAATCCTTCATCAATGTTGTAGCCG